ATAATTTGTGGTTTTTTATTAAGTCGATATTTTTATGAATGATTTTACTTCCTAAATGTTTACAGATGTTGCTTAAGGTGTTGAGAATAGTTGTGAATGATTGTAAAAGCACGAATCATAGAAAAATTTGAAGAAACGTCAGTGGAAAGCTGATTGTTTTCTACTACGAAGCTTAGGCACCAAGGTGCCGAAAAATTGGGCAACACAACTCTGCTATGCGTGAGTGTGTGCACGCGACGTTGTCCAAGCACCAAAAAGGGTCAGAACAAGTCCCTTAGTGCACTACATACATTCAGCATGTTGCGTGTGGGAGAAAGCCATTATCAGACACCCCTGTTGTGCCGAGCAAGCCATAAGCGCAAGCACAAGGGATGTCATGCACGGTACGCATGATCTATGTGCACAAGAACATTTGTCTAGGTGCCCCTACGCTAGGGTATTTACCCCGTGGACGTGCTGCTACGTGCAACAGGCCACGTTGCGCAATCTTGATAGGCATACACATGCCGAGGGGTTTTTGCATACGAACAGGCCTTCTAGGACGCGAGTGCAGGCTAGGGGAAAATCCCCCACTCACGGGTTCGAGGGAAAAAATTCCCATGCAATGAAAATTTATGAAAAATTGAAATATTTTAAATTGGATAATTAATTTAAATAAAGAAATTGAATTAAAATTTAAAAAAAGAAAAATAAGGAAGAATTTGAGAAATTTTATAAATTGGAGCAAAGGGGAATTTTGAATAAAATGAAATTTTTGAATAATGGAAAAATTGGTAATTAAACAAATAATAAAATAAAATTTTAGCAAAATTAATAAAAGAAATAATTAATTTAAAAGAAGAAACTGAGCTAAAATTAAAGAAAAATAAACAAAATTTGGAAATTTTATAATTAGAAATAAAATAGGGATTTTGAGTAAAATGATATTTAAAGTGGACGTAAATTAAAAATTAAATAAAGTATTTAGGATAAATGGAATAGTTAGGGGACATTTAGATTTAATAAAGAAATAAATAAAACTTAAATTGTAATTACAAAGTCAAGTCTAAATCCAGTTCTCTAATTTTTCTTGGAGCGTAGTGGTAGTTGTAATAGCTAACTAGTTGTAATAGCTAACTGGAGCCACTATATTGTGTTTTGGGGGTTTGTTCCACTGAGTGGGACACTTGTGACATCCCAAATACTTAATGGATAGAAGGGAGACAACTGTTTGAGTAGTTACGAGTGCTAAAATAAAAAACCGTTTACAAAGCAATATAAGATTTAAAACTTACATTAAGGTTATAATTTGGCAACTCTAAGTATTAAATACAAAATAAAGTTTTTATAAGATTTTATATTAGAGTGTGAGATAACTATTGCCCTCGAATATGTCTTAGAGAATTTTTAAGAATTTGTGAATGGGTCTAGTCAAACTCAAATGGATGTCTTAAGGGATGCAATTCCTCAACTTTATCAACACTTAGGAGGGGGGAGGGGCAACACGAATTAAGGGTGAGTTCCATGTAAACTCAATAAGGAAAGCAATATTTAAAAATACATTGTTCAGGTTTAAAAAGTGAATAACTTGAACAATAGTTTTGATGTCTCTTACCTTGGAGAAATGTCACAGCATGAAGTCATTTAATCATTTAAAAAACCCTTGCCTTTATGAAGAAATATGGTGAAATAATTATACAATCAAGCTAAAAACACCATTACTCAACTTTTAAGCAGACATGTTACGTCACATTTGACACATTCGTATATATATAAACATATACTAAACCAATGACATGTTTCAGTAAATAGAAGAACCATCATACATACCATTGTAGAAATATTAGTAACACAAGCAACAACTTAGTAAACAGAAGAACCAACATACAAATCATGATTTAGCATTCTTAACCATATCTAGGTTTTATTAAATTTTTATTGATCTCCGTGCAAATCATTACAATATATATCCTTTTAGGACAAAAGGGATTTCGTACTACCACTGTGAATCACCAATTCGACCTAGATCATTTAACTAAAAACAAAAATAACACTTTTTTTACTAAACCCAATAGATATCAACTTAGGCTTGGGCTCAAGCTCAACTCGTTCCCAATCTAGATTTATCCTTTCTCCTCTTTTTTTTTTTTTGAAAGCCCATCTATGCATGTTCGGGCTACTGAAGGTCTAGACCTATATCTCTCAAGTTGTAAGCACAACCCATTTCCACACTCTTAGTCCTATCGTCTTCAACCTCCCGAAACCCTAATCGGATTTGCTATTATTTCAAATATAGAGATTTAGAGTACAAACTACTCTTATCATCAACAATGTGATTCACAATAGTCTTGGTGACTATTCTTTACCTAACTTGTAAAGCTCATCATTAATTCGTCTACATTTACATAAAAGACATTGAATGAGAAGAAATGGTGCAGTTACGACTTACTCACCATATACTACCCTTTTCGTAACCAACCTAGGTTGTTCGACGGTGCCATAAGGTGTCTTGTCTTCTTTTTTAACTATGCGTAGTTCCCCTCTCCTCTTCCCTTCCCTCGACAACCTCTCTCTCTCTCTCTTAGGGTTTTATCTTTTCTCCTTTTTTATGTAAACGCAGAGCTTTTTATAAATAGATAAGGTGAAAGGAGAATTGTTGGATCTAAGGATTATATCATGGTCGTCCGATTTTTTTTTATTTCATCAAGGGTAATCTAGGTATTTCATGGGGTCCTTTATGCAGGGGTCATCTGATTCAGTGCACTTTTATAATCTTCTTTGGCTTTAGGCAATATCAAATCCCAACTATTCGATGGTTACTAAGTGTGCAATTCTAAACGTTCAATTTTTCAGCTCACTTCATTTTTTTCCATGTGTTCGTATTCTGTTATTTTCTTTTCCTTTTCATGGGATATTACATTTATTTCATCTTGGGTTGCTTCATTAGAATGTGTGAGGACATGATTCATAATGGTTGTATATGATTTGTCTTAAATATACATGTTATTTATACTCCCCTTAATTTCATTTTGGAATCCCATTTGAACCACCATATTTTGGTTCATTTTATAGGCC